CGCAAGTATAATTTGGTCGTTCAATGGCTTTTAAATTGCTATAAATAAAATTGTAGCCGTCATTGATATGAGAATTTATGATAGGAGCGCCGAAGGCGCCACGAAATTCAAATCATATGAATTGACCGCTTACCCTTTCAAACAAAATACATACATACGTAATACGCCAATATACACTAAGGTACGATTATCCTGAAACACACCCTAAATCCTTTCAAGCCGTTGGACAATGACTTTGACGGTACGCTATTATTATATTTTATTTCCTCTGACGACTTCTTATTATTTTTATACTTTTCTTTATTCGAAGATATATCGGCTATAAAACGGGAATGTCTCTCGCCTGATTGAACCTTTGTGCTACGCGTTTTATGTCGTGTGTAACAGTAACATGTACGCTTGCGGAGCTCATTGCAATTTGATTACGATTGCGATCAAAGCACACTGCTTTTATTAATAAATTTTTGATACAGTGTATGTGCTTGGCTTATAATATTTACGACTAAGAAATTGTACAAGAATTGCTGTTTGGAGTTTATATATACGCAAATACATATTATTATAACATGTATTATGAATAACTATTGGTCCCGCAGTAGTTGAAATTCGACTACAATAAGTTAAGCTTTTATTAAGCATTATTATGGTTCTAATCCACTAAAACATTATTATACTTTATATTCTAATCCAATAAAACACTATTATACTCATAATATAATTACAGATTTCGCCAAAACTGCACTATAGATAAAGCAGGCAGCGGCTTGGCTCTGCCCCTGGCATTGCTGAAGTCCATGGGCGATGGTAAACAATCATTATCACGTGGGCTGTATGCTCGTCTGCCTGCAAGGGCAATAAAAAATATAATAATATTAAAGAAAAACAATAATAATCTATTCTCAATTTGACGACTAACTTTAAACAATAACAATAGTTTTGACAAAAAAAAATAGTATTCTGCACTTCTTTTCTATATTCTCGTAATTTTCGTAAAAAGGGGTACAAAGTTTTTGCTTCACGTATTAATATATATAGATGTATGTATTATCTTGAAATTATCATTATTGTCAGTCAGATTTTTGTTGGATATATTCCGATATGTGATATTTAGCACTACAAGTTCATATAAGTGTTCGGAGTGTGTTGGTTACATTATAATGTATACTTGTGAATGTTATTTTTTATTTACAAATGAACCTCATAGTTGTCCGAAAATTTAAGTCAACAACGACAAATTAAAGGCGATAGTAGAAGCTAACGATACTCTTTTTTGGAATTTAACTGAATGCTTGGAATTTAGGACCTTACCTTACCTTGCGTTGTTTAACAGACACAAAAATTAAGGGATTTTGAACCACATTGTGGTGGGCAAGGTAGAAGGGAAAAGACCCGCCTGCCAGCCACCAAACCGTTGGTCGGATCAGATAACTGCGCTCACTGGACTCTCTGTTACGAACGCCCTGAGAGAAGCCGAAAACCGAAGCAAATGGAAGCTGAGGGTACAAAGAGCCACGAAGGGCTTTCAAGGACACGACCTTCAGCAATGAAGTATTCGACTAAGAAGAAGAAGAAGAAGAACCACATTGTCACCGATGAAAAATGGATTCTTTTTTTAAATTATAAGCGATCGTTACGTTGGTTAGACTCTGGTAAAGTACCTAGGCAATGTCCCAAACGAATATTTACCCCTAAAAAGTCATGGTCGCTGTTTGGTGGTCTAGTGCCGGTATAATTCATTACTGCTTCTTACCAAATGGCACCAGCAACTGAATCTGCGGATGTGTACTATGAGGAACAACGATGGAGAAGCTTTTACTTAAAAGAAAGATTACTGCTAAGATGGATTGATGAGCTCACAGCACACCTGGTGTTGTTAGGTGGTCACCGGAGCCATTCACGGAAGAAATAAGCAGGGTGATAGTATCTTCTTATGCGGCTTCACAAGATGCCCTACCACCAGTAAATGCCTTACCACCTACAGTAAAATCTCCGGCCAGCCTTTGTTAATCGTTCGTCTCCTGGTCCTAAAGAACAACCTCATACGGCACAACAGATAGTGTTTAAGTTAGCGCTAGGGAAGTTTTGCGTCATCTACTGTACTCACCAGGCCTTGCGCTGGTAGACTTTTACTTTTTTCTAAATTTGGACTACTTGTTAGTCCAAATTAACTAAACCACTAAAAAAAATGATAATACCTCAGAGGCAGTACAAAATGCTTTTGACGAGTTTTTTGCTTCCTATATACCTAACTTGTTCAAGACGGGCATTGAATGATTACCACTGTGCTGGTAGAGGTCTATCTTGCAGATGATTTTTGAAAATTTCATCTATAAGAGATGCGATTCATTCATTCATTGTATGGAAATCAGTTATTTTTAAACCAATTTTAAATATCTGCTTCTAGTTAGAAATAAATATTACTGTACTTGTTTCAAATTTTTACCCTTGATAGGATGAATCAGGTGTTGCAGTCATTATATTTCTTAAAATGTTTGCGCATAATGCATTTTTAAAATATTAATGTTGTCACTGCGAGGAATATTTCTATCACAATACGTTTCAAAAGCTCTCAATTTTTCGTACAATACAAAGCAAGTTAGAGCAAAATAGTCGTAGTCTAAGTCAAATAAAATTAGGAGTGCGGGTTGTGAGATACTTTATTATAATAATCATGTTTTAGTGGTTATGATGAACTGATTAACTCATAGCCTTTAGGTGGTTATCGGAGTCCACGGAAATCATTAAGTGAAAGTAGCTAACCATCATCATAAACATTAAATATTTATACCAATCATGTCCCTTTGCATTTTGGTGCAAAAAAGGCCAAGGTGACCTGTGAAGATTGTAAAACTACAATAACATATTTACATAATTATCAAATGGTCAATTTTTATCTATAAATTATTTTGTCTGTATTATGTATGTAATTATGTAACCCAAAAAGTTTGACAACAGGAAATTATCAAATATTAGTTTTCGTTTCATTTTTGAAGTAGTAACAGTTTCTGTGAGAAATTTATAGAAATAGTTAAATTACAAACCTACAGCCGTTTTGTAGGATAACAATAAACAACGAGAGATAACTGTTAAATTTATTTTCTACTTTGGTGGTGAATTTTGCCATAAAATAAAGCTTGAATGTGTTTACGTTTCAGGTACTTCAATTTTTCTTAGCCCCTTCCTGATCTTTTATATGTTAAGATCAGTCCCACTACGTGTAAATATTATTTATATAGTTAGTACATTAAGGCAAAGCAGTGTTGAACAGTCTCAAGTGTCAAGGTAAAAAAAAATAACTAAGAAAAGAAAGAACATCGATGTACTGTAATCTAGGAATGCTTACATCGCATTGTATTTGGAATCGATTGTCAGTAATTTAATATTAACGATCAGAAATAAAACAAAAAATAAGTTGTCAACTGCGACGACACAGAAAAAAGTCAGCGCTTCAAATTTGAATTTGGTAATTGTAAATGTTTCTACTTGTAAATGTTTCCTCAATAGATGCTGCTTTTCTCCTACCTAAGCTTGAGAGGCTAAATCAGCGTAACCTTAACTAGTAGGTGAGCTCACGGGGCTCAAACCTGACGACTGGAGATGCTGCATGACTGACGCTCCTAATTTATTTTCACAAGTGCTCAGTATGCGTGCCAATCATGCTTAAAAACTAGTGAAGTCGCTCACTCGTTAGCTACTCCTGTATCCTGGAACTAAGTGAATTAGTGTCTAGGTAGGACAGGTCCGACTTCCGTCCATTATTTTATGCAAAATAAGCTAGGGCGAGCGTGATATAATTTCGCGAACAATGAAGCTTTGTAATTCATGTCATCTATTTAGAACTAAATGGGACGTGTTTACAGCACAAACAAACTTGTAGTTGTTAAGCGTTTTGGTTTCAATCAAACTTCAAACTCTAATAGGAAATTGATTGTGGCTATTTTGTTCAGGTGTACGTAATTTAATTTCGATCGGTGTTATTGTTGTTTATAAAACAAACCTTTTTCGTCTTATAGCTTTTGAAGTCGTCGTGGCCTAAAGGATAAGACGTCCGGTGCATTCGTATCGAGTGATGCACCGGTGTTCGAATCCCGCAGGCGGGTACCAATTTTTGTAATGAAATACGTACTTAACAAATGTTCACGATTGACTTCCACGGTGTAGGAATAACATCGTGCAATAAAAATCAAACCCGCAAAATTATAATTTGCGTAATTACTGGTGGTAGGACCTCTTGTGAGTCCGCACGGGTAGGTATCACCGCCCCGCCTATTTCTGCCGTGAAGCAGTAATGCGTTTCGGTTTGAAGGGTGGGGCAGCCGTTGTGACTATACTGAGACCTTAGAACTATATCTCAAGGTGTGTGGCGCATTTACGTCGTAGATGTCTATGGGCTCCAGTAACCACTTAACACCAGGTGGGCTGTGAGCTCGTCCACACAAGTAAGCTGAAAAAAAAACCGCAGTTTTAATTGACTAATGAAACATTGGTAACTATAACTAAATAACTAAAACTATAAATATAATTCCAGAGTATGTTCTTAGTTCAAAAATTTTTTATTGTGGCAAGTTTATCATGTGTTTCATTAGTATCGTACGATAGCAGAAGAGTGAGCGGTCTGAACGCCATTGTCATCCTAGTATTAAACAACAGTGTAAAAAATCTTAACATAGACAGTACACATTACTTGCACGTGACTTTCAAGAATCCTGTAAATATCGTGATAGATGTTAAGTATTATATATATAACCCATTGTGCATGAGCTTCAGTCTACTCAATGGGATGTAAGTTAGGACTTCGAACAAAATAGACTTCAACCGTAGCAGGTGAGGGGGATAGCGGGTTTGCACGGAGCGGGTTTGGGTAGAGACCACCGCCCTGCCACCATTAGATTTTCGATCTGTGGTCATCAGCACCACAACCAGTTGAACCGTATCAGTGGGAGAGACGCAATGTTTACGTTCACTTAAAATAAGTCAGTCGTCTTTAATGAAAATTCATTTATTTCATAATTTACATCATCAACTTCTAGTAGCAACGATATATACTATAATATTGTTTCATATAATTACAGCTCTTAATCTGGTTGCATTAGTAGGTATATTACATTAATAAATAAATAAATATAATAAATAAATAAATAAAAACAAAAGTTCATACAAACATGAATTTTTAGCCTATATAATGCTACCGCAGCCAATAACTACTGGAATAGGAACATCGCCGCTTTCATTGGACAAATAATCGGAGCTCATGGGGCTGATTCGTGACAGAAAAAAAGTAAGTTAGTAGTAGTAATCATTGCGGGCATTCCTTTTTTACCACGGTCTTGATCAAATCTGTTAAGTAACTCTACTTATAAAACGTTATTTTTCAGGCGTTAGCGTCTATTGAATTTCATATCATAAATATCATTATTGAATTTAAACATCTATCATAAATCACAAAATACCTAAACAACAATTTGATTAAAAGTATCTAATACATAGCACATACTAACAATTTTTCTCTTTATTACAGGGATGACGTCCGTCTTTGCGGTCTTTCAATAACAAACGAATATTTGTCTTGAATGTTCAATTCAAGATTGCTCTTTAATTAACAACATAAAAACAATACATTTACATGTTATTTGACCTCGCAATCAGTGCGATTCTACCTATATATTTACAAAAACAAACTTACAAGATGTCTTAACAGTATTTATATATAATATTTACACATTTTTTTCCTTATTTTAATGTTGTATCAGTAAACTCAACATGTCACTACAATAAATTAAGGATCAAGGAAAGAAAAAAAAAACGAGGTGATATTGGCGTTTGGCCGCCTGCTTTGCATACCGCGGTATAATAAGTGTGACAAGCATATATGTATATATGGTAATATATATTGATAAAAGTATAGTCCCTTGCCATTGCCTATGTCACGTAACTTTATGGAATTATATTCAGGAAACATGTTGCTTTTCTGAGCTAGTAAAAAGAACACATTAATGTAGCAATTTTAAAAATGCAAATATTCCAAGGACGAACAGAAAAACTAATCAAATCAGTTATTATAACTAAGTTATATATATTTAAAACGTGCTACGAGGTTTATTTTTGTATGTAGATGCGTCATGTCGTTTTTCATTAGAATTACCTTTTGATACCTTGATACCTTTGATTCGTAACTATTTCTTTCTTTTTGTATTTTTGTGGTCACAAAAATTCTAGAGTTATAACGGAAGGGATTTATACTTTATTTGCATTTTCGATCAATTATTGATGAAAGTATGAACTAGAAAATTGTTTCTGTTGTGATCGAACAGAGGATTGTGTAATTTTTGCGAAATGGCAATAGCTATAGTGTTACTTTTCTATTAATTTTCGGAATCAGTTCGAGGAATATCTTGTTTTTAGATCACAAGTCCTGAAGAAATTTTGGAAAGCCATACTAATCATTTTCTTATTTTTTTATATAATAATAATTTAAGACTTACGTTTTTAAAAATAATTACGTATTTGAATTTCAACTTTGATAGTATATCCAAGGGATTTTATATCAAATTACAGTGATTTTTTTTTAGCACTAGTGCTTGCAGTAACATTTCACATGATTATTATAGATGCATGTAGGAATACATATGTCTCAGAATGGCACATTGATCATACAAAACTATCAGTCTTCACTTAAAATATTATATACAATAACATTTTATACACAGTAATAATCAAAACTACAATCGTTTCTGGATTTTTCTAAACAAAAATGAAATTGGTTTTTGGGTGATATGATATGAAAAACATCAATAAAAATTAAATCTACATCACAATTTTTATCCTACATTGTTTTCTAAGTACTCGATACGTCTATTAAATATGTTATCACGACAATTATTCATCGTCTTATAGTACGATGTTTCTTGGCACTATAACGAGATCCGTAAGTTCATGTCAGCTGCATAACACAAAAAAACTAAACAAAACGGTAAAAAATAAAATTCCTTGTGAGCTATTTGTACCGGAAGATTGCGTCGACTCGTAATCTAAACATTAACAAAAGAATAACGATTAGTTCGTGAACGATAAACATTCATTTATTCAGGGATATTAGTAGTGATTGTTATTACAGACTCACCGACATCTTTCCATTCTTCCACCTCATAATCCCCGATTACTCTATTCTCGGCAGAGCTGTCTCGCCATCGATTTTTATGTTTACCTGATGAAAACAAGGAGCATAAGATAAAAATGTCTTCGTTGTAAGAAAAGCGGCGCGGAAAATGATTGCGTCATAAAAAATCTTACATCCCGCTAAGGGCCCACGAAAGTGGGCTTTCAAGTGTGATCGAAACATATGGCCCCATAAAGAATATAAAGAAATCCCAAATCTATAACAATAAGGAGGTATATTCGAAGTCAAAGCGAAAACAAAATCGTTTTTCCACAATAATATTACTAACGACCCAATTGTACGGAAGCATTGGGTCGCGGCGGCAAAACCAATAAATACAAAATCCACCATCGACCTTTTCAGTGAGGCTGCCTCTAGGAGAGCACGATGAATGTATAAAAGGCACGTGGCGGGCTTTACGGAACTTTCAGTTGCCTGCTATTGAATTTATAAAACAACTTCAGATAGGTGCCAAAACTGATTCGATTTACTGAATTTCCCGATGCGAAACTACGACAGGGTACAATTAGTAAGAATATTTGGCCTCTAAAATTAAAGTAGTTATATATGAAGTTATCAATATCCGGACTTTATTATGAAATATATGTAATTATGTGATTATGAATAATTAAATATATTAGGGATGCTTTAGTTCTTAAAATGAAAACATGATAAATCTACTAAACTAAAACAACTACCTTTTTTTCTCGGAGGAAGTGTTGGAACGTAGTTACTCGTTGTACTAGTTGTTGAAGGAGCAGAGATTTCTACAAAAAATAATAGTTGATTTTCTTAAAATCCTTTGATTTTGTTGCTTGCTATTTTAATAGATCGGCAAACAAACTCACGAATGAAACATAAGAGCGGAATCTCAGTTGTACTTAAAAGGGCGGTCCCGCCCTTTATTCCGGAACACAAGGCTGATCCACGGCAGAAATAGGCAAGACTGTGGTACTTCCCCGTTGGAGCTTACAAAAATATTCGTAGGTAGACATCATGATAGACACAAATGTTCTAAGAATGTATAAATAAGCAATCAACAAAATAAAATAAGTAAATCTATTTATCGGAGAATGTCCAAGGTCTCTAATAATACAACAAAATAAAACATTATTGTATTGAATTAAAGAAGGTATAAGTAAGTGTATTATTGTAAATGTATAGGTACCGTCAAGCCGAATGAGACCGTCTGTCTCTCCAAGAGAATTCTTAGCAACGCAGCGATACGAAGAAAAATCTCTCGGAGATACTTTCCGTATTGTCAATTTCATTTTCCGACTGTATCCGTCGTCGCTTAACGATGTTACATATTTATTGCCTGTAAACAATTACATGAATTTGTACATTAGTAATAATAATACACATTTATAAAACTCATGAATTCATATAATAATAATAATAATACGCATTCACAAAACTCAACTTGCTTTATATGTAGTTTCAGATGAAATCATGAATTTTGTTATATTTTAATTTTAATCACATATACATACATAGATTGATGATTTTAGAATAGTTTAGTTCAGTGAAGTAATTATTATACATTGAGAACTGTACTAGACAAATTTCTTATGCTGAAATAAACAATTTATTGTTAGTTCCAGGTAAACAAAAGGTAAATTTTTTTGTTGTAAATCTACTAAATTACTTATCCCGTAAAACAAAAGTAACGGTAGTAGTAGTTTTCCAATAAATAAACTTTAAGAAATTTATGATACAAATATTCGTAGTATTTGATGTATTTATGACATAGCTATTTCTTGAAGAATTACAAATATGTAGTAGTATAATCTTGTGATCTATTTGTGATGAATAGGATGTTTCGAGGACAAAAGAAAAGTCAAAAACAAATCTCTCGATTTATATCTCGCATGATGAGGGCGTGCGTTTCGGAACAAAGGAATGATAAGCCAAAGGTCGCGTTCACTTATGCGCTCTTGTAATTGTATCACACCGTATGTTTTTTTTATTTTTTTTTATTGCTTAGATGGGTAGATGAGTTCACAGCCAACCTGGTGTTAAATGGTTACTGGAGCTCATAGACATCTACAGCGTAGAAGCGCCACCCACCTTGAGATACAAGTTCTAAAGTCTCAGTATAGTTACAACGGCTGCCCCACCCTTCAAACCGAAATGCATTACTGGTTCCCGGCAGAAATAGGAAGGGCGGTGTTACCTATCCGCGCGGACTCACAAGTGGTCCTACCACCAGTTAAAAATCATTTTATACGTTTTATATCGTTTGTGAAATAACTTCTCTAAGAACCTTGTTACGCATCCATATTTAAGCATGCTGATTGTTATTAGTTCTAATGCGCTTTAAATTTGTGTTCTTCGTATAAATCACACCTCAAAAATGGCATATTCTTGGTTTATGATTTTTCAAAATGGGATCGAAATATTTATTAACAATCAAATACAATACTACAATTTGTTTACAGCTCGCAATGAAAATATTTATTTCAGAACTTGTCTAGAATTTGAGTAGTAGTGATAATAATGAATTGCGCCACAAATTGAGTTCATTAAAAAATTCGTACCTGAAATGATCATATCTCCTCGGTCTGTTGTCCAGTAATTTATAGACGACGGATATGCTTCAGTGTGGCACTCAAGTGTTACATCTTGGCCGATATACGCTGCTTCCAGTTGATTCGGGATTGACAGCATCGGTGGAACTGTGACAAAAATGCTCTATAAAATTTAATGAAATTGTAATTAAAACTGTAAAACTGAGACTTAGTGCCCATATTTCAAATTGGGTAATCACTTAACTCCAGATAGGCCGTGTGTTCGTCCACTTATCTAAGCAATAAAAAATCTTATGTTTCATTAAGTTCTGATGTTCACACAATATAAATTGATTTTGCGTTTTCTCTGGTTATGAATTTAAATTGTGATTGGAATATTTTATCAATATTGTTATTGAAAGAATAGCATCACGTCTACATCTTTGTTATGAAATATATGACGTTACTTATTTGAAATTTCGTACTTCGTATATTAAGTATGAAAGGGTTGGTTATGCATGAGTAAAATAACAGAGACGCGAATCGAGAATAACACTGTCATAAAGATTTGTTTCCAGCTAGCAAAAGTACAATGAAAACTGGCAGTAAAATTTATAAGGAAGTCGGGTTGCTTAATCGAGTGAAAGTTACGTGAGCTTTTCACGTATCTTCTAAGAAATGGAGAGGACTGTGAAGTCGCTGAGATACGGAATGCGAATTAGGGGCCGTCGCATTCGGCTTCTAGACGAAGACAGGCGGGTGGCGGGAGCCGGGTGAAGCGGGAGAACAGATAGTATCGCCATTATCGCGTCCGTGCCGTATTCACGTCAGCATAATGGTCTAATTGGCCGCAATTACGGTCGATTCGGTGGATGGAGCCTTCGTCAGGTAGAGGCGCTCTTGTCCTCGTAAATACTCGTTAACGGTACCTACCGGAGAAAAATAATATTTCTCAGAGTCGACTCCCTACTTGGAATGGAAAAGAGGAAAATAATCGCTGTAAACGCCAAATTTGGTACGTTAACAATATTAAATCGTAATTAAGTCTTTGTGATGAGAATGTTTTTTTTAGGAAATCGTTGTCAATAATGGTTCTGTACATCTCAATTCAAACATGCAGAATTTGTGAAGTGTTAAAGGAGTCCAAATGAATATTTAACCAGGCACCAATATCCTGCTTATTTCAGCTTTGAAGTTTGAGATTCGATTCAATCGAGCTCAAGTTTCAAGGTGAGTGGCGGCGTTCAGTTCGAATTATCTATGGGTTGCGGTAATCGATAAATAATACTAACTAATCAGGACTGTGTAGGGCGTGAGCTCGTACCCCCCTCTTCAGTATCGAAGGCAGTAAAGCAGTTTAATTTATAGCTATGAAAGTTTAGTTAAACAACTAATAAGAAAAAAAGCTATCGAACTAAAAAACAGCTTTGACTGTCATAGATATCAGTCAACCTATTACGAGTTGTTATACGTATAGTTCTCAAGTCTGTTCATAAATTGAGTTACTTATTTGAATGATTTAGATGAAAGTCCCGATTTATTTATCATGACCCAATAAATAATATATTTGTGTAAGTGTCCTGTTAGATCTCGATCTACTGACATTAGGGACTACGGTATGACATTAACAGATTGTTATTTAATAAGGTTCGAAGTTTCAAACCTCCGGAATCTAATTTAACAATTTCAACGTCACAAGTTCCTACCTACATCAATAATTTGATATAAAGTTTTATGTGAATTCAACTTGAATAATTAATGTTATTGAAAAATAAATTGTTGATTTAGATTAATTTGAATCTGAATAAGTTGTAACCAAGTCAGAGCAGCTTATTTCATGTTTTAATTAGTATTTCCGTTACCTATGATTTTTGTATATTATACTTGTTTTGTTTTTAGTAATTCCTAAAATCAGAAATAAATGTGCTTTTAAGGCGACGTTTCCAAACGATCAAGCATTTGTATGGTTTTTATCTGTTCGTTAATTGCCCGAAAAATATCAGCGGTAATGTTTCACGGACATTGCTTTTGTAGACGGATCAGCATGTAGCCTAAAATTGATAGTAAATTAATGTAACTAACAAATGTAACTAACAAAGAAATCAAGGATACCAGTCGCTCTCTACCGTAGGTCATTTTCATAACGCATAATATTTGTATGTAAATATTGTTTAATAAAAATTGGTATAGAAAAGAAGCGTCCCGTCCTTTCCGGCACGTATTGTCAATTAAAAATTAAATGACACGCGCAGTCCACGGCTCGTGCGATGTAGGGGTGTCTGTCAGTTGTTTTCGTTTTAGGCTTAGATTATGTACTCGTTCAAATAGTCTGTAAATTTCACATTTAGTTTTAAAAGAGATAGCCCTGATTTTCTTGTTGATTATTCTCAGTGTGAAATAGTATTCCATATTGGTGGTAAGGTTCTGAAAATTTGACAGTATATAATTTAATAAAAAAAAAGAAGATATAATTTTCTTCTTTTTCTCCACCTTATCCCACTAGGTGGGGTTGGCGCAGCAAATTTTTCTCTTCCATTCTCTTCTATCAGCCATCGTCTTAACACTCACTCCTCTCTCTCTCATATCACATTCACACACTCCGTCCATGTCTTCTACGGTCGACCTCTTCCCCCTCTATCTTGCACTATAATTTCCATACATCTAGTCACAAGCATCTTCTCTCTACGCATGACATGTCTTTTTTGAATTGAATATTAATATAAATATTATTTTTAATTCCGATGATAACGAGGAATTTATAAAAATGTCTTAAGTTAAAATTTAACCTCTCTGCGACTTTGGGAACATAGTTTTTATTGTTAAGTTTCAAATACATTTTCCATCGACGTGCTACGTACACAAGTCAAGTATAAGCTTATAGAAATATATTTCCGTCTTTGTAACCCCATGCAGCGCTACAGAACTAGGCAGCGGCGTATCTCGCTCACAGCATAACATTATGTACGTGTTGAATTTTATCATAATTTATACTGGCATTAAATTAATCCATTCGTTAATCATGAACGATGTCGATGGTATCAGTAACCAATGCATGAGAATGATTACACTGGTTGAAAATGTATTATGTTGGACCATTAATTATAAATACAGTAACCATTTTTGAAGCACATTTAGGCATTGTTGGTTGTTTTTTTGTAACTTTAGACTACCGAGCCACTGCAAGTCTAGAGCAAGTCGTCATGGCCTAAACGATAAGACGGCAAGTGTACTCGCATCGAGTGATAAGTTTTGAAGTCGTAGTGGCCTAAAGGATAAGACGTCAATGACTTAACAAATGTTCACGATTGACTTCCATGCTGAAGGAATAACATCGTGTAATATTTTTTTCATTTTTTTTATTGCCTAGATGTGTGGACGAGCTCACAGCCCACCTGGTGTTAAGTGGTTACTGGAACCCATAGACATCTACAACGTAAATGCGCCACACACCTTGAGATATAAGTTCTAAGGTCTCAGTGTAGTTACAACGGCTGCCCCGCCCTTCAACCGAAACGCATTACTGCTTCACGGCAGAAATAGGCGGGGTGGTGGTACCTACCCGTGCGGACTCACAAGAGGTCCTACCACCAGTAATTACGCAAATTATAATTTTGCGGGTTTGATTTTTATTACACGATGCTATTCCTTCACCGTGGAAGTCAATCGTGAACAATCGTTAAGTACGTATTTTCTTAGAAAAATTGGTACCCGCCTGTGGGATTCGAACACCGTTGCATCGCGATATACGAATGCACCAGATGTCTTCAAATAATAGGCCACGACGACTTCAAATAATAAATAATAATAATAAAATAATAATAAAAATTAAACCCGCAAAATTATAATTTGCGTAATTACTGGTAGTAGGACCTCTTGTGAGTCCGCAGGGGTAGGTGCCACCCTGCCTATTTCTGCCGTGAAGCGGTAATGCGTTTCGGTTTGAAGGGTGGGGCAGCCGTTGTAACTATACTTGAGATCTTAGAACTTATATCTCAAGGTGGGTGGCGCATTTACCTTATAGATGTGTATGGGCTCCAGTAATCACTTAACACCAGGTGGTCTGTGAGCTCGTTCACCAACATAAGCAATAAAAAAAGACTAAACCAGCGTTCAAAACTCACAGACAGTTGTCAATTTTTCTGATAAAATACGTACTTAACTCATTTATGGGGTTCACAAATCCCTTTCACGATGAAGCAATTAAAAGGTGTAGAAAAAATTTTATCCGAAAAAAAATTATACTGTACGAATATACCATATTGTACTATATTAAATATATATACTATACGATATTATATGTCATTACTATACAATTAAGATACAACATACAACTAAGATATAGACATAAAGTCTTATATTAAGTATTGGCGGTATTAACGATCTCCAATGAACACTTAACACCGCGTCGTCTATCAACTCGTCATTCATCTAAGTAAATTAATTAAAATGCTTTCGTAGATTTTAAATTAAATTGGAAATTATCAACATAGAACCTTTACAAATCGGATATCAAAAACCAGCAATGTACTTTAAAAACAGTTTTTGTCCTTATTTTATAATTTCTCTATTTCAGCTTTGTCATGGGTTTTAGTAAATATTTTAAACACTAATTGCACAAATGGGGCATGAGCTCAAGGTCCTACTCATACTAATTGTTTATTACAAAACAGTAATACTAGAAGCGATTGCTAAAACTAAGTAGCCCGATGGCGTAGTAGTTAGTTCCCCTTGCTACTGAACCGAAGGTCGTGACTCGTGGATGACATTCCTACTTCGGCTAAATATAGTTTTTTTTATTGCGTAGACAGCTGAACGAGCTTACGATCCATCAGTTGTTAAGTGATTACTAGAATCTATTGGCGACATGACGTGAATGCGTCTATTCATCTTCAGACATAAGCTCGAAGTTCTAATTGAATTGTATAATGGCTATCTCAACCCTGGAACTAGAGGGAAGACTGAATCACGACCAAAAATGGCATTGTGGTGGTGATATTTCACCGGGCGATCTCCAATACGACTTACAACCAAATGACGTCACTTCCGCAAAATCATACTTAAGAATAATAGATGGTATTTTGATTATGTTTTCATTGTGTCGTTTTACTTACATTGAACCATTAGGACAACTCGCTTACTGATCGATGGAGGCACGCCGTTCGAAGCTATGCAAAGGTATGCGCCCATGTGAAGTCTTGAAACTTTGGATATAGTCAAGTTTTCGCCGTCGACTACGTTAACTGTAAACAAACACCCTGATCATGTAACATGAAACACCGCTCATATGTATATCTAGAACAACATTAACATAATATCGTGATATAATTTACATAATGAAATGCGGTAAGGAATATCCCGAGAACTACAACAATAACAACGTATAATTAATTTTAGGTACAGCCTTTAAGATTCCTTCTTCTCGATAATTTAGGACAATCGCCGTACTTTCATAAACCTAAGAGGGCAAGGTTTAATAATTATTCTCGAGTCGTTTACAGGCATTGTCAAGCAAATATTTCTACTGTGCCGTGATTGTTCAATTTAGCCGTATTGTATGAAACAATTGATTCGAGTCCTCTTCGTTTCAAGTTCCCTTTACCGAGCATTGACTTCTAACGTTTTGACTTTTGTTAGATCACGATTAATCAAAATCACGACTCGCCAAGTTGGAGAAACAATTATGCGTCTCAAATATAAATCAGCTGTTAGAGCAGTTCCGTTGAGGGTGTTCAACTAATTAGTAACTATTTAGCAATATTCGTAACAAGAGTTTCCGCGTCATGCTCGCGTATCATACGTGGTAATTGAAGCGTTAATGAAATAATATAATTAACCGGTTACTATTTCAGGAAAATGATTTAAATAGGTTAGCGATAAAAAAAGTTAATTTTTGGTGATAAAAAAGTTTCAAACTATTTATGTTTCATGCAAATAAGGTAATCATTGAAATTTTGTTACGCTGTCGTTAATATGCTAAGTCTAATATTTACCAGATTCTCCGTTACAATTAAACTCTTGACCGTCTTCTCGGCGCCACATTACATAGGGCTCCGGATAGCCTGTGGCTCGACAAACCATCGTAACGTTACTGCCTTCGCGCACTACCATATCCGTTGATGTCATGTTATCGATTATCGTCGGTGGGACTGTTTAGAAAAGGTGGTACAAAAACATTAGCTGTCAGTAGCACTGGAAGTGATTCTATTGAAATTTATGATTTTACTTACCGACGACTTGCAGGTAGCCCTTTCTAGAACGCATGGGGTCGGTGTTTACCTGACACATGTACCAGCCTCGGTCAACCTCCTGCACATTCTTGATGTGTAGGTACCACGAGCGATGGTCATTATAGGAAAGACTTATACGAAGATTCTGCGTTATTATGTTGTGATGGATGCTAAGTATTGTTTGTGTGTCAACACGAACCCATGCCACCTAAGAACCATTTGTATTAAATTAACAAATTTATCAGTATTACTTACAAAGCGATCCCGATGTTCCATTAATAAAATGAAAATTTTGGTATTTTTTAATGTTGGCTACAAAACCTGACCTATTTGAAATCAGATGGTAACTGGAACTCAAAGAAAATGCAAGGTACTTGTCACAGCTTCCTTTCGGACAAGAAGTCTACAGGTTAGTGACGTGAGTAATCCGTGTAAAGTAAACTGTGATTACAATTTATTATCGGTTAGTGTTTCAGTTGGAACACGAATATATCTCAGTATATAGCACAACACTACTCTGTATTCGTTAACTGCATGATTAATAACAGGAGAATCGTGATGTCTGAGTAAAGTGATATTAAGTTGGCTTGTTAAAACTTTGGCTCGTGTGCCGCACCGTACCAATAGAGTTGCATGAAGTTCCATGCAACGCTAGCAGATAGAATTATGCTCAGTATTTGATTGATAACGTTATTTTACGTACTTTTTAAAGCTTATAATATCAAATCGTTAAGTTTTATATATAGAAATGTTAGTAATGACTTTTACTGTTAGCACGGCGTTTTCCGAACTAGGGCCGTATCGGCTATTTAAACTTCCAACCATTTCTGCTGCGGACATGAATTGAAGGGTATTATAGTATAGTAGTTACGTAAACAATTGAGACGGCGACCTCAAAAACGATACAGCTGCGTGGTGCTATGTTTATGGGCTCTATTAATCACTTATTACCAGCTATCCTGTGAGTTCGACCGCCTATCTCGAACAATAAAAACTAGAATGATAAGTCTCTTAAAGTGTATAAAATTTATCTCGAAAATAAAAGGAATGCTTCTTAAAGTAGGTATGTTGATTATATGAGCAACATTCGGTATGTATAATTCAAATTATTACCTTATAACCTCGCAAATCTTCCACGACGCAAGCGAGCAGCGCGTCTCTTCCTACAGTCACGGTTACATTTGGAACTGGTTCCACGAAGCGAGGGAACATGGACTCTGAAACAAATAGAAATAATTTAATTGTAATTTTACAGAACATTTAAAAGAAGAAAAAAAAGATGTATGGTGTTGTGGGACACCGGATAGGAACGAAGTTCCTTATTATAAAAATATTAATTTAAAGTTCTATTCGAGGTATAAAGAAAATAAAACTGGAGGTTTCGCAACAACCCTCGGTCATTCGGTAGCGTGCGAACTTATTGTGGTACACTTCATTCACGGTTGTTTGTATAAGAGCTAGTGTACTGCGCAAACGAACGCTCTGAGATCGTGGTCAATGAATGATAAAAAAATATGTTATTTTTTGTACGTTATCACAAAGTTAAGTTGTAAAATGTGTGCATTACTAATAAAAATCTTACGTTACGGACGTTTTTTCCCGATTAGGGTACCCCTCCGCATCGTCCCGTATGGAACTTCGTTCCAAAAAAATACGATCTAGAATCGAATTTACTCCCAGTATTTTTGTTCAAATATAATCATCAGCAATCTTTTTTCTTATTTGAAAGCGTGTCTGTAGTGATATAAATTCGTTTTAGTTCATTTTCATGTACAACACACCACGTAATTTTATAGGCGTCAATAAATCAATCACAGACATAATAGAATCAAGCGCGTGATCCTTTCGTTTGGCAACGTCTTGTATGAATATATTTTCCCGAACAGCGTGAATGAGGCATGTGAAATCTTGTACAGGTAGATGAGCAATCCATCAAACCAGACATAAAATCTGTACTGTGTTCAGTCGAAAGACGTCTAGGGCGCTTTCAAAAGGGAAACTTTATTCAATCATCTATGAATAACTGCTTGTTCGAAGGCATATTTTGGAACAATGTCATAAATTAAATATTTTTAGAAAGTCTGTTTAAGGAAACGTTTATTGAAACTTCAAATTAACAAGTTTACTATCTTATTGTATTAGTTTACATGTTCAAATATTTTGAAAAGAACAAATTAACGATTGAAAACTTGTCAGACTTCGACTATAATGACGATAATGATCAAAAGGTAACGTAAGACTAATTACATTGTGTTTTAATTTTTGCATTTACTGTCTGCATTGAATATTTTTACAAGAGGCAAAAGAAGGATAAGTTAAGTTTAGTTATATAAAACTTACTACTAATAGATTTAAAGCATAAAACCAATCAATCATGACACGGTCAATATGTATTCTCAGCTTACAAGACTTGTACAACTCAATAAATACAATACGAAATTTTATAAACATTAAAGGTAACATTTTTTGGTACTTCTATTTATTCGCTAACTATTCAGACGGCGACCTTAAAATTATATTATTTACTTCCAGAGCAAGAAAAGAAAAGGCCAGGCCGATTTCATTATGCTTGATTCAATTTCGTTGTTTCACGATTATAAGATATAACTGGAGTTCACCGCGGGAATACAATTTTATTATATGAGCGAAAGAAGTCGTAAAAGCGTATTCGAAGGGTTGTTATGTGCCGTTTATGAAAAACTCAATGATACGTCGTATGTTTTCGAAATTGAAAACGTTATAGGATGTTTGCTTGCCTTCGAATAAAAGTATTACTTATTTACAATACTGTGAACATTTTCTTATTCTTTGTTCAATTTTTAACACAGCTTTATGTAATGGCGAGAAGCACTTTCGGCATCTGTATAAAAACAATTCAGGGCTGTGTTATAAAATCGCGCACTATGTTTAAGTGATTTCTTGAACTTGACTGTGTTGGCGCTCAGCAAAAACTATGGTTTAGACTTTTGTTAAGATCTTAGACAGCTCCTGGACTTTTCTTTTTAGCAAACGTCGAATGTATGCATAAATCAGTAAAACGTTTGACCTTTTTAATGTCTGTCTATGATGGTCATTTAGAACCAGATTTCCTTATTAGCATTCAATAAATTACAATCAACTGTTTTGAAATAAGTATCGAAGTATCAAGTATCACTAGAATCTCTTCTATCTCTAAATCACAAGAGGTCCTACCACCAGTAATTACGCAAATTATAATTTTTGCGGGTTGGATTTTTATTACACGATTTTACATTCCTTCACCATGGAAGTGAATCGTGTATGTTTGTTAAGTACTTATTTCATTAGAAAAATTGGTACCCGCCTGCGGGATTCGAACGCCGGTGCATCGAGATACGAATGCACCGGACGTCTTATCCTTTAGACCACGACGACTTCTAAACAAGGTTTTTTCATAGGAATGCGATTGGCATCGGCATTAGCTCTTATGTTATTTCAATAATTGTAACAATATTTTTAGGCTGAATAACCTGAAACACGGAAAAATATACGTGAATGATTGATGAATGAGTACGCGAATAGAACAAATCCATCGCATGGCCATCAATCTTGGTGTATAACGGTATGGGCTCACCCTGCGAACGACGTCTCCGTCTCTAATGAAAGAAGAGCTTACTGAGCACGTATAAACAATCGGAAAATGTTGTTTCTAATATCCGTGGAAGATAGATGGTCCGTGAAATGTGTTCTTACAGCGAGATAAACTATTGATTGCGTGTTAGATAGTGTCCGTTTATTCGACAGTCGCACAATGGACTGGACATTGCAGTCAGCATCTATTCTTTTGAAACTTTAGTTCCATGCACATTCTAAAGATACTTTTTTACTAAATTTGAACACATTAATTTTTGCTAGTCGTCGAATTACCATAATATGGTTAAATTTTGTACATAATTACTTATTACGATTCTATTAATTTGTTGACGATTTTATTGGTGATGCGATGTTAACGTATTAATGTAGTTGGTTTGGATGAGACAAGCAGATTATTCAGCCACTTGAAATATGATTACGGGCCGGTCGTCATGACGTAAGTGTTTATGGATGCACGTGACGGGTCGCGGTGGCTACCCCGAAACCGCCGCGTTCACTACCGCATATTTACTTAATTGGTGCTGTACGCTGTGACAAAAGTTCCCAGCGCGGGTTGGGAACCCGAGAAAATTAGATTCGCTGCCCGCCTGTCGCTTGTCGATGCTCGGACAGCTGCTACGCGTTTGCCTAATTTACCTTTTTCTTTGTAAATCGACTTATCGAAAGAGTTGCCTTTTAATTCATATTTCGGTGCTTAATTATAATAATAATATATTTGATAACAATAAGAATTGAATTTTCTTCTACCAAGCTTAAAGTTTGAAATTACCTTCTTTTTTCCATTTTAGTATCATTATTTGAAAACAAATATATTTATGAAACAATTATTAGGTGTTCTTTAAATTTAAGATTTTTCATTGAAATCTTCGAAATTTCTAACAAAAGAAAGTTATCGTTCAGTATAAATTAAATTACTATAATACATTTGAAAAGATTTTAAAATTTAACAAGTTAATTGTTTTAAATTCATATATCTTTATTCGTTTGACCTGCTTAAAAAAACGGTACGCTAGCTATACGCCAAAGCGATACAGGTGACGCAAAACATTATAAATCTATGAAATAGAGCGAATATTTTTCAATAATAAACGAAAACTGAAATGTGAGTAAAACGATTGTAGAAAATTCAAGCTGCCGATTCTCATTCTGGCTCAGTATAGCTGTAGGTATTCATGAGTATCGATTTTATGCAAAATGCAACAAGATTCACTTGAACACGTCGGCTGCACTACATATCGTATGGAGCTATCGAGCTATCCCACAATTACACCGGAATCCATGTGTGCCTGCATGTAAATGGGTGCGCAGAGAACGAGGAATTGAAATGTGAGGCCCTATTTGGTGTTACTGAGACGATTGGACTCGTGTACAAACAGCGAACTCTACAGTAAATCAAACTATGTGGTTCAGACGCTGTTATGTAGGGATAAGGTAGCCCGTCGCGCAAGAGGCCAATAAAGCCAATTTACCTTGGGTTTCGATTACTCCTTCTGTTCATTATCAGCAGCTCGTAAGTAATTTCAGTTTCGCTGTTTCCATTGTGTTATTTGAGTACACAATCAAGCGATGCAAATTACCTCTAGTTATCTAATCCAAAGTTAGTAAGATAGATTACGAGTGTGCCTCTAATCCCGTTAGAGACGCGAATTGTATTTATTACAAGTACGTTTGAATATCGTCAGTTGATCGTTACTGCATTAAGTCTAATTTCGTTCAACAGTCCAAAATTAAAAAGAAACACTTTACGAAATATAAAAAAATTAAATTTTGTACAACAGCATTTCCGAGGTTCTTCTGACGATTAATTAGGCAGTAAAGTGTTGAATTACGTTTTAATTACTTTAACCTACCTCGTCCTTGTTAATTACGTGGTGCTCCAATTAATATGTATCCTACACATTTTGATGAACATTAAAACATATGTTGTTATTTCAAACGAGTATTCGACAAATGTAGGTGTAGTTTCCAAAACGGACGGACTTTTGTTGATTTGTATATTATTATAGTTTCGTTTTTAATCTTAAGTAAAATTAGAATCGAAAAAAATTAATCCCAAATCAGCTTATAATTTTATAAAACAACGTTATTTAAATTAGGGTTTATAGAACAAAATAAGGGGTTATTATAGTGTTTTCAGTCTTTGCACACACGATCATGTGGACAGTGAGCAGTGGAAACATATAGGCACATGTTTACTTTAATACGTTTGAATTTTTAAGCTTTTGCATAGCTTTTATCGCGGTCTTTGAGCGCGGTGACCGAATCAAGAAATTCCGTAACGAGAATAAAACCAACACCCCCACTCCGCCTACCATGTAGCTCGCGTTCAACACATTCACACGTTGCGCTTGTGTAGTGTTTGTGAATAAGCGTGCGGCGTGACGTCGCACTGCATGCGCATCATGAAAAGTCTACCCATCTTTCTCTCGCGCGGTCCACCTTATGAGTGTGAAGGGGACAGTTAATGTTTTGTTTTTGTTAATGTTTATAAATATAGCGTGGTCTTATTTTATTATTGTTTTAATATTTAATTATTATTGGCTAATTATAATTGCATAAGTTGATAAAAAATGCTTACTGCTACTGCTAGCTTTACCGCGGCAGT